CTGTTGACATCTTACTCTGTTACAGGCAAGTATTTAATCAAAGTTTATTGTCATTCTTTTCTGAGATTTAAGTGGCACATAAAATTTTACGATACGTATAGTATTTTAGATGACAGCTTCATTATTTCCAGTGAATAATTTGGAATGCTACAAGGAGAAATATTGATGGCAAACTGGTAATTGTCATTAAATATGCAGCATTTTTGCAGCAGTCTTGTGCAAAAAATAAATTTTCTGAACTTCTGCATAGCAGTGCTGAACAATCTGAAATGTAATTCCTTTGCCTTGAGCCTTTTCCCATCATGGAGGCCACTCGAGGTTCCACATGTGTAAAAACCTGAAATCTTCAAAGTAACTTCGCAATTTTTCCTTCTAAAAATGAGCATGGTATGGTACTGAATGTCAAAAGGACAACACTTGGTTTGTTATTGAGTTGATCTTTCGATTCCTGCTGCCTGATGGGATTTGTATTCTTGCTGCCTTAATTGTGTCCTGTCTAGTGGACATTCCCTCTTTCCTGAGCCAGAGGAGGAACATCTTTGGCAGGAGTAATTAAAACTGTGTCACGGGAGGTGGGTGTGACGACAGGTCACTGGGAAGAATGAGACTAAGGCACCAGAGCTGCAAGGCAGTGTGTAAAATAGACAGATGCAGTTTAATATTGGACTGATCCCAGATGAAACTTCCCTGTTGGTTCAGTGACTCAGCAGGGAGTGAATTGTTCAGGACCATGGGAGTGGCTTCTCCTTCTGGAATGGAAAAGGCAATGAGAAAAAAGTTGAGTTGCTGGAAACAAGACCAAGCTCCTTAGTTCAAGGGGGGTTTTAGGTCATTCCTTGTTTTGTTTCCACTGTTGGGAAGAATTAAGTTTGCTTTTAGGTGAATTAAAAATTCTACTCAGAATGGTACTTTTCCACGTAGCTTCTCTGTTGCCTTCTTAAAGAATTCAAATGAGGGACTGTTACATTAGGTAATGAGCAACTTTGTTAGCAAATATATTTACAAAAATGCCATCCTTGTCTTCTCTTTTATAATTATTACATCCTGACTTGGAAGAAAATGGATTAAATCTTTCCTATAAAAGGCTATCTGGTGAGTATATCTTGAGTATTTAGCTTTATAATCACTAAACTATTCAAGTACAGGGCAATCAGTTTAAGAAATGCCATTAGAGTTGTTCAGGATGCTTGTAATAAAACATTTTGAATAGAAAACTGCAACATTTTTCTTAGCTATAGCTTCTTTTAGGAAAGCAAGCATTCAGCAAGGCTGAGAACAATTTGTGCTTAAGGCATGAAATAAAGAGCATGTGAGAGGCATCACTTTGGCTCCTGGGATGCTGAGGGTGCTGTTTCAGTTATTCTACCTCAGGCAGTTCAGAAGTTGTGCCTCACAGGTGATGGCAGGTAGTTGTGTTCTTGCCCTCTCAGTCAGCTGCTGACCAACATCCCCAGGTCCTTTTCCATCAGGCAGCTTCCAACCACTCCATCCAGCCTGCCCAGATCCCTCTGCAGAACCTTCCTGCCATCCAGCAGATCAACGCTCCCACCCATCTTGGTGTCCAGCTTAGTGGGGTGCACTCAATCCCCTTGTCCAGACCATCCAACAGGACTGGCCCCAGTACTGAGCCCTGGGACACCCCACTGGTGACTGGGCTCAGGTGGGAGTAATTCAGGAGGCCCCACCACTGTCTGGGCCTGGATGTCCAGCCATGAGAGCCAGTTTCTCCAGGAGAATGCTGTGGGGAGTGGTGTCAAAGGCTTTGATAAAGTCCAGTTAGACACATCCACAACCTTTCCCTCATCCAATAGGTCGCTCACCCTGTCACAGAATGAGGTCGGTTTAAGTCAGGTAGGACCTGCTTTCCATAAAACCACTCTGGCTGGGGATGATCCCCCTGGTTGTCCTGTACGTGCTGTGTGATGGCACTCAAGATGATCTGCTCCATGACTTTCCCTGGTACCAAGGTCAGGCTGCAGGCTTGAAGTTCCCTGGATCCTTCTTGTAGCTTGAGTGTCATATTTACCAAACTCCAGTGACTTGGTACTTTCCCAGATAGCCAGAACTTCTGGTGAATGATGGAGAGTGTCTAATGAGCCCTTTTGCCAGCTCTCTCAGTACATTTGGGTGGATCCCATCCAGCCCCACAGAACAGACTTGCGTGTGTAAAGATTATAGAAATATCTGGAAAGATTATTCAGCATATCTGAGGTAAGAGTTACACCTTCCAGGTACTGGGTGGGTAGTTTGGAAGCTCTGGAGAATTTAATGTGCCCTCTAAATCTGTGACAATGTATAAAGCACACTTCAGCTTTATCCTGTACTAGTATTTTTCATGGAAAATGAAAGATTGTTGCCTCCCTTTGTAGTATGCAGCAGCTTTCTGAGAATTCTCAGCCAGGCAGCTGGAACAGGAGAACATTCCCCTTCTGCAGTAATAGAAGGCAGTAATTAAACCTGAACACAGCGAGTGGAGCTATAAAGTAAATCAAAGTGAGTGTTGAATTGTACCTCCATGCACCTGGTGGTAAACTCCTTATAACAAAACTCAAAGCTTCCTTTCCTTGCCGAGGAACTGTGAATTGCAGCCTCTGTTTGCCGTGCTGCTGTGGCTGTCACCCGCTGTAAATCCAGCGTGAAAAGAAGTCATGCGGGGAGGAAGGTGAAACTGTGTTTTGCTCCTTTGCTTCCCTTCCCCACAGGGTGGTTACTCCAAAATATGTGGCACCTGAAGGAAGCCACCCCAAAGGTCTTTTGAATGCAGTGGCTTGGGTTTTGTGAACTCAGATTAAATCCATGGAGAGGCTTTCCTGGCTTTCAGTGAGGGTTTTTTGATTCTTACACCTGTAGCACAGTCTGGTGGAAAAATTGGGTTAAATTTCGAATTTGATGAACTTCGCAGTGCTCTCTTTGCATAAAGTCCTGATGCAACAGAGATAACCTGCGTTATGGATGGAGGGGTGGGGGGCCTGCCTGCAGGGCCAGTGTCCCGTCTCCATCCCTTCTGGTTCAGAAGCCTGTTACTGGCTGTCCACGTGCTTCCCAGTCCGTGTCAGTGATGGGAGAGGAGGACAGATGTTTCACCCCACTTCACCAAAGGGTATAATCTCTTGATGCTACTGTTCCATTGACTCCTGAAATCACGCCTGCTCAGGACGCCCTCCTCTTATCTGCTGCCGTACAGACAAGCTGTCAAAACGTTAGCCGGGATTTTGACACTGAAGTGACTCGGGAAGACAGCTGGAATAAGGCTTACAGGTTTATTTGGTGTTTTCACGTTGTTTTTCTCTGAAGATGGTTCTCAGTATTATGTGAGCATCCAAAGCAGCGGTGCTGATCCGGGCTAGTCAAGGGGAATGACGGATCGAGCTTGGTTTGCAGGGGTGCCAGTTGCAGTTCTGAGGGGTGGGAGCTGTGTGCAGGGAGTATAGTGCAGACACTGGGCATATTAAGCCTTTCCTGGTGAGCAGAGGTGTGTACAAAGGAAAGGGAGTATAAAAATAAAGTATTTTTAACCATATCTTGCAGTCTGATTGCCTGCTGGATCCGACGCTCCTTCTCATAATACGCTTGAAAAGTTTTATTTGTGCCTCAAGGGCGATGAGCCTGTCTTCATTTAGGAATGCAACTGCAGATAATACCACCGTGCTGCTGACAGCTTTATGTGCTCGCAGCCTGCCTCTCTTATTTACTCACTTCTATGTGTGGGGCCAGCAGTTTTTTACCCTCCTACTTATAATTGCACCCCGGGCCGCCTTGTTCTGGAGCCTGTTCCTGTAGTGTGAGGTGAAAGAGCCAGTTGTTGCCATTATAAATTTAATTTTATTTTTTTCTTACATATAATTGAGCCCGAATAGTCGTTAGGGTTTTTTTCCTAGGTTCATAATTAAAGAAACCTCAGAGGAGAGCTTTGTAACTATTATGAGGGCAAAAGAGGAGGTAACGTTTGGTGTGACCTTGTTGTTTATAAATAGGTGGAGTTGAGCTTCCAGAAATTTCATATATATATATATAGCTGAAAATTCATGAGGATCCAGAAATACTAAGCAATAGAACAAAGTCAGTCACGACTGTTCATCACTTAAAATATATTTGTAAGATATTAGATGTAATTCAGTGTTATATTTTATGAACTTTTTGTCAATTATGATGTCCTCGTAAATTCTATGTAATTACTAAAATTTCTGGATTTTTTCCTTATTATTTTAAAAAATAAAAGTGTATTTTTTTTCCCTTTTTAAAAGCAATAGTTCTCTGTGTTGTAATCCATGTGGCATCCCTCGTGCTTTCTTTTGCTGCTCATTCTGCCAGTGGTTGTTTTGGTTGATAGATTTTGCTCCAGCAGTCCCCAGTGTCCTACCTTCTTGTGGAAAGGGCTTTTGAAAAGATGCTTCTTATCAGTAGCTGTGCTTTGGTCCAGGTCTATTGACTCATCTCCAACAGAAAGTATTTATCCCTTGGATGTGGGTGGTCTAACTGATTCGTAATTTTGGATCTCCTAGTTTTTGGGTGAGAAGCAAGAGTCAGAATCAAGAGAGGTTCATTTTGGTGAGGTTGTAAGGGAAGGACAAAAACATCTATCAGATACTTCTCTGGCCTACAGGAAAAAGGCATCTGACTTCCCTGGGGACCTGCACAGTTTATATTGTGGAAAATAGGTTCGGTAGGTAGGGATTGCTGGAAAATACAGGACAGCTGTCCTTATTTCTGATTGAATTCTGTGAATCTGTGAATTATCTCATTCCTTTTGCTTGCCTGCTTCGTAAAGTGGACTGCAGCCAAGATGTCACACACCAACCTCTTTGCTTTTCTGAATAAATATTTAAGTTAACTGTTCAAGTACTACCCTTTCAAGCCTGAAACCTAACCAAATTCTCTTTTGTAGTATATTCCTCCATGGCCAGGCGATTGTTTGACATACAGTTAGTCTGTTTGATGCAGACTGTGGGTATGGACCCAAGCTGTGCCTCTCTCCACATGTCTTTTTTTGTTTGCTGCAGGTGAAGAAGTGCCACATCACCTCTGCTCGGAGCTGCCCCGTCCTGAAGTTGTGGCTTGTGAAATCCCTTGTGCCATGGACTGTGTCATCAGCGAGTGGTCCCCGTGGTCCCCCTGTTCCCACTCGTGCTCCAGTAAAAACGCGGAGGGCGCTCAAAGCAGGAGCAGGTCCATCTTGGCCCTTCCAGCTGAGGGTGAGTGGTGAACACTTTTGAATTAATCACTGTTTGTTCCCTTAATGAATTGACTTGCCTTCGTCAGCCGAACTGTGTTTAGATCAGAGCCAATCCCAGTTCCACAGCAATGAGGAATAATAGTTAGTGCTTGTCCATGCATCATACCTGGAGTGTAAGAGATCTTTATGGTCTGGAGTTAATGTGTCACTTAGAGAAATTCTGTCACAGTTCAAAATTATTTACTTCAACCTCTGAATTATTGTCTGTTGAGGGCTGGTCTGGGTGTGAATTTGTTTCAGGAGAGCTGCATCCTCTACCAATAAAATTGCTGCATGACACAGACTCATCCTGTGAGTGTCTTTATCTAGGAATATTGTGGTAATAATTTAAAAACAGTGAGCTGTGAAAAATGAGGAAATGGAAAAGGACCTCTTTATGTTATTTTGTTAATGCAGACCTGTCGACCTTCTTGTTTTTTCTGTTGCAACAAGTAAATAACTATTGATGAATACATGTGATATCCTCTGGATCTTCATGGACACATCTTGTATATGTTTTTTTTGCACATTAACATTAGTGATATAGCTATTTACACAAACTATTTTCTATTAGAAGTTTTGTCTTCAAACTACAGTTACACGTGTGGTAATTAATTTATGTGTTGGTTTATCACCCAGGATTTGAAAGTTCTTGAATCAAGTGCATAAAAATTCATAAAATGCGAAGAGGTCCAGCAGACTAAAGCCTTGTTGACACAAAATACCTGCTATTGCCAGAACTGTGTACAGTTAATGCAGCAACAAAACACTTTCAGATGCAAATCTAGTTTAGGACAAGCTCTGTTAAGTGCTATTTTGTAAATTATCAGTAAAGCCACCTGCCATTTCTGGGACAATGAAAGGACTTGATCTTGCAAACCCTTACTGCTGTGAAAGGTCTGTATTCACATAAACATCCTCATAAGCACTTGAGAAGAAAATTTGGACCTTTCAGGTTGAAAATAATTGTTAATTGAATGATAATAACTACTACTAAAACAGTCTGCGAGCTAGAGAATAATTAAAATGAAAAATACAGTTGGCTTCATATTTTCCATGGAAGTAATGGAATGCAAATAACAGATAAACTTGGAATTATGAAAGTGAAATTGTGGAGAAGTGAATTCTGGAAGTACAGAACCACAGTAATCTTGACCTGAAAGACACTAAAACTAAAAATGTCCTACTTTGAACTGAATACTTCAGATTTCTCAGGAAGGAATAATTAACTGTTAAAATCAAACACCCGGGCGTTTTCTGTGCATCTTTAGCAAATGATGTAATGGTTTGCTGTGCAGAATCACACATCTGTGTAGAGACAGGGATTGAAATTTTGGAGAGTGAAGGTGTATTTATTGCCATTGTCACTGTAAAAGCTGTAGTACCTTTGCAAGGGCCATTTTTTTTGTCCTCTGTCGGTGCAGGCAGTGTTGGCTGTGGCTCTGCTGTCTGAAGATTCTGGACACCATCTCACGGGCTGAATTCATCTCAAGCCCTTGGGTCATTTTCTCCCAGCTCTTCACCAACTCCCAGAATATGATAACCAGGAAGCTGTTGATGAAACTAGAGGGACTTGGTTTTACTTGATTTAAAGCAGGTTTTTCAAAGATAATTATTTATGCGACAAACTTCTGAAAGTTGGTACAAGAGGAGATTGTGGAGCAGGCATTAGCAGGTGTAAAGTGAGCTAGAGGAACTGATGAACATCATGTCCATAAAAAGTATGTACGTGGCTACTGGAATGGCCAGGCAGAGGAGTCCTGTCCTGCTTTCCTTCTGCAAAAGTTGTCAATGAACTGCAGAAAGTGGCCAGGTTCTTGTGCTTTCTATAAAGAGTATCTCCTGCTTATGGTGTTGCAGGCAAAATGCCAGATTGGACAGACCTTGTGGTATTTCTTGTTAGTTTAAAACTGCCTCATTACTTCTCTCTCTTGTTTAGGAGAGCTTCCTTAACATGGGTATTTTTCAAAAAAAGGCACTTTATTTTTTCCCCTGGGCAGTTCAAAATTTAAGTTAGATGCTTTCTTTTGATTTTTATTTCCCGCCCCCCCCTAATATGCACCAAGCATTTTGCCATGTGCTTGCTATGCTTTTTTATTTTTAAAAAACTTGTGCTCAAACACACAAGAACAATAACTGGTCTGCATTTTTCCTGCCAAGTCAAAATCTTCAGGAAATAAGTTACCTGGGGCATTTTCTACTCCATCATCATACTAAATGTTTCTGAGACTGAACACTGGGTGAAACAGTCCCATTTTCATGAAAAGATAAATGGTAATGTGACATGATTATCCAAATCAGCGTGTCAAGTAATTTTTCCCTCTCCTCCTTTTCTCACTGCTATTCATTGTGGCTGCTTGGGGTCATACCTTATTTCGGGAGGGTCAGCCCTGCAAGGCAATAGGCATCCCTTGGAGGAGCAATATACCTTCATCTCCTGCTCATTTTAGTAGGGCATAAAGGTGCTCTGAACCTCCTGATATCTGACCCCACACTTCAGTTCTTTCAAACTCTGCAGCGCTTTGGCAGTGCCCCAAGTTGCCAGAGTCTTCCTCCTGGAAAAGAGAATGGTTTCCACTTTAGTAATTTTTACTTCTTTCTTCTAAAAATGACAGTGCTTACTGTTAAATTTTCCTGCATTACTCCATAGCTTTTGAGCTGCAAATATCTCCTGCTTTTATGGGATAAATTGAGGCTGCTGGTTGGAGTGTTACACTTTCTGGGGAGGCTGTTCAAACTCGTGTACTTTGTGGATTTAACACCAGTTGCTAACAAAGTGCAGCAGGTTAGCAAAATCTTTGGACACGCATTTGAAGGATGGTGCTTCAGAAAAGTAAAGGCTTCAGGAGGGTAAAGGCTTCATGCTCAAATCCTGTGTTTCGAGTTTCCCCTCCTTGATTTTCAGATGTGGGTATCATTTGATGCATTCCTCTGTCATCACTGTCCAGCATCTCAACAGCTCCAATCTTTAAGGCATCACGTGAATAGAGTCCAAATAGGAGATAGAGACGTTCCTCCTTGGGAAATTATCAAGGAGAATGAACATAAAAATAATGCTTAATTTGTCTTAAACCCTAATTGCATGTTTGCTGAGTGATGCTGGCATTTAAGCGGAATTAACTTGGCTGTGTGTAGGAGTTATCAATAAGGTAACTCAGAAATATTCTTTGCCTGTTTCTGTTTCCATTATGCATTGGAATACAATTTTATGCAAGGCTAGTTTAATAGGGAAACAATATTTTAGAAGGTTGTTATTGCAGCCATAAAGGTCAACAGCTTTCTTTAAGCTTTATTTATTTATTTTGATGGGGAAAAGAGGAAAGATATTGTGCAAACCTGACATTTTTGTTTATTTTTTTCCACATCCCCCTTTTGGTGGTCTCTTGACCCTTTCCAGGAGGAAAAGCCTGTCCCCCTGACCGAGCCCTGCAGGAACACCGTGCCTGTAACAACCATCCATGTGTGCATTTCTTCTGGGAAACGTCTCCCTGGAGCTCCTGCTCCGAAGACGTGCTGGTGACTGCGCTCAACTCCACCATCAACTGGAGCGGAGAAGCCACTTGTGGAGTGGGAATACAGACGAGGAAAGTCTTCTGCATGAAGAGCAGTTCTGGCCAGGTCACACCTAAAAGGTATTTGAAGGAAGGCTGTTAGTGATTATTTATACAACACATGGCATGTAAAGGCATTTTCAGTGTGTGCAATCTGCGGCGTTGAAAATAGTTTTGTTTCAGGACTAATTCTCCAGGTGCTATCCCATCACTTCGAGGAAAGGGGTCCTAATATAGAACAAAACCAGATAGCTACCCCCTTCTTAGCTTTCCATGTAAATCCAAGCAAAATGCATGCTTTTAGCCCTGGAGATTTTTTTGCTGCAACTCCTCTGTTATTCTAATTTACGGTTTTCTGCAAATACTTTTCCTGCAGGACAGGTGTGAGGAAAATGTAAAGTACATCTGAACATAACGTTCATCAATACGTTATTAGCAGTGCTCTAATAAAATAGAAAAAGTAAATAGATTTTGCATTATATTTGCACCCCAATGAGGCAGAACCGTATGTGTGATTTATATTGTTCATTTGGTTTATGCGGCTTCTATAATGTGATACCAACACAACAAAATTATATATTCTGCGGTGCAAATATCCTGAATTTTGCTTTGCTCTACTAAATGAGGAAAATAAGTAGCACAGATGTTTTCCCTCATATAGAAAAATCAAGACATTGCTAATTATTTTTGCACCATTAATGAGTCTAGAGACTTACAACTGAGTTTCATTTCTTATTGTAGCTCTCAAAACAGTCCTGTTCGAATAAGCAGACTGTGTTGATTTCAGTGAAGTTAATTAAAATTCTTGAGGTTAATGAGATTAATTACATAAAAGAAAAGAAATCTAGTATTCATTTAGATCTTGAATCCACTGATATGCTCTAACTTTACCTAATTAAACATATTGTTTATAGAGCTATATAGTTTCTAAAATAGTTGTTTTCCTCCTCCACTCGTGAGATGGTGTAAGGGGAAATGGAACCGAAGGGGATAAGTAAGCACTTAAGTAGCAGAATCATGATTTTTACATTTTTTTCCCCTAGTAGGGATTAGTGTGATATTCTTCTTCCAAATGGGATCATTTTGGGTTGCATGCATTGCTAAGTGTTTTTGAGTGATTATTTTTTTAAATAGAAACTAATAAGAAATAAAAAAGAATAATTCCCTTCCTGTTCACCCACTTGATATGCAAGATCTACCTGATTGTCTCTTTTACACTCTTTGAGTTTTTATATATAAACTAATTAATATAATTAACTTTGTATTAACTGTGTCTGAAATTTTTATCAAAATATGTGTGACGTGTTTTTCATTTAAGAGTTAAAAATGAATGAAGAAGTTCACAGAGCTCTTCTTACTATCCTGTGTTGTACAACTTTTAAAATAACAATCAAGGCCTCAATCAAAGATCACTTGAAGCTATTTTTGTGTTTCCTAGGGATTGAGAGTGAAGGAATATCACATCACCCTTAGAACCCTGTTGCAAGTAGGTTGCAGTTTGAAAGGTGTTGCATGTTGTGCAAAAACAGAGCTACTTTACAAACATAACTGCTCACTCTCTTTGGTAATAAATATGTCTGCTTTGCTCCAGTGAGCTTTGTATTTTTGTTGTCATAGACAGAGCTACCTTTGGCCTGTAGTCATCAAACTGAGCTCTACAATTTTTAAAAAATTATTATTATTTTTTTTTGTTACCCTTGAAATGTACTAAATTCAGCTGGGCTACGTGAGTGCAAAGGAGAAGAAAAATGAGTTGTGCTGTGACCAGGAGCCATACCTTTGGCGTGGCATTGTGCTCACAGCCCTGTGAAAGTCTTAAGAAGAAGGTCTTTCTCCACAGTTTTAATGTTTTATTACATTTTGTCTTTGTGTTCGTGTCCGTAGATGTCCAGAGTCCATCCGGCCTGAGGCCGTGCGGCCGTGCCTCCTCCCCTGCAAGAAGGACTGTGTTGTTACACCTTTCAGCGAGTGGACTCCCTGCCCAACAACCTGTCAGCCTGGTAAGCCTTTAAGAGGTCAAAATTTGGGGAAAAATTAGAGAATTGGCCTAGGAACATGGGGTAGTTGTAGTTCACACCAGTCTAATAATTTTTAGGGCACTCACGGGCAGTTTTGGACTTGAGGACTTTGGTTGACTTTGAGGTGACACTGATGTTCTTGTGCAAGTGGGATCCTCACCAACAGATTTGGAGATGTAGATTCTCTCTGCCTGCAATAAGTTCCTTCTGGGTTTCTGCCTCCAAAGTCAGAACTCCAGGTTGCCAGTGTTATATGACTAGACATGGAATTGCTTCGTTGTATGAAGTGTTTTTCTCTTGACCAACCTTGGTGTACGTACGAGGTTGTGCAAGTAACTCCTGTGCTTTGTGGTTTTTCAAGGACCTTAAGTTTCTTTGATCTAGTTGACTGGGACAAGAAATGTTCAGCAAGGTTTCTTTATAATGATCTAGTGTTGGGTTCTGTGACAAATTTGTGTGTTTCATTAATTGTTCAGATAAAAGTCTTCTCGGTTATCAGAATATCAGTTTCATTATTGTTGGTAGTTTCCTTGCCCTTCAAAGATTCTCAGTGGATGCTGCAGCATAGTCCTTGTTAGATTTTACAGGAAAATGAGTTGCTTTCTAAAACAGTGAATCCTGTTTTAATTAGCAATTTATTTTTAGACTTTAAATGAGCTGCCTATGAAGAAGTGGAATAAATTACCTGGTAAATTACTTTGTTTATTAAATAATAGTCTACAATTAAAATGAGAAGAAATTAATTATTTAACCTCCTTGGCAGCGTTATCATTTTAATATAATGCTAAATTAAAACTTCTTAGATGGGGGAGTTTGCTTTTTGCTAAATCTGTTACTGATATGGCTGCATTGCAAGATTTTTTTTTTTTTTAATTTGCATTGCACAATTAAAACCTCAGCATGGTAATGAAATTTCAAAGCTGCTATACATACGTGAGTTGTGAAGGGTGTTGGTTTTTTTTATAGAAAAGTTGTATTTAATGAAACCAGTATACAGATGGTGAATTACTAAGCAGATCAAGCAGGAACAGGTATTGCCTGGCAGATTTAAAATTAATTGTGTACCAGCATAAGATTAGAAGTTAGACAAACATGTAATCACTAAATCAGCTTTACACAGAACTTTACCAGTTGAGCTGTTTGTAGTTTATGTGAGAAAATACGTCCAGCTTTACTATATAACAATAAAAAAGGCTGACATTTTCCCTACATTTAAATGTCATCAGGCAACCGTCTGTCTTCTGGCAGAAGATTCTCTCCTACCTTGGAAGAGGAGACAGCCATGAACTCAGGGCAGCAACAGATGGACAGACAACATAATTCACCAAAGAAGTGCCACTGAATCCAGGCACCTGTTGGGGAGGCAGGAACAGAGGGGGGTTGTTGCGAGTTATTGATTCTCTGCCATTTCAGATACTGAAAGGTGACAACTGTCTACTGCAGTCTCCTATAAAGTTATCTGTTTTAATGGGTCTTTGAGGATGGATCGAAACAACAGCCAAAGAATCAATAGGGTGGTTTCAGAGTACGACACGCTCTGAATGAGCAGCATGTAGATTTTCCTCTGTCACCTGCTTTAGGGTGGCAAAGGTGGCCTGGAGAGGTAACTGCTTTCAGCATGGATGAGGTGATCTCTGGTCTGTCAGTGTAGATTTAAAACAGAGAGATTAAGAAGAAAAGCAAACAACTAACAAGAAATAACATTTTTCATCTTCCTCCTGAAAATAGATGGTACCCGTAAGTACCTCCCTCTCTTCTGGGCGCTGGTTGTCCAGGAGGAAGGTTAGAAATTTCACAGTTGCTTAATTCTCTAAGCAGGTTTACATGAAATGTTGGGTAGTAACTGTCCTATTTCTTTCTCTGTGCCTTAAATCAGATTTGAAACGAGATGGTGTAAGAGTGGATAAAATGCATAGTGTGCCATGATAAGAAATTCCAGTGACTTTTGCCTTGTGTCAGACTGTCCATGATCTACCATTTCAGTCCTCATAAACAAACACCCAACCAGAGCTGGTCAAAGTTAAAGTCTAACCCCCTCAAAAGCTCTTATCTGTACAAAAGTACTGGAAAGAGCTCTGATTTCAGTGACTAAGTCCTCAGAATCCTGGGAAATCTGTCCTTATTTGTGTGTGCAGAGCCTTGTGCTGACCAGACCCTGCCTTTCCATGTGGTCAGGTCCATGTGAATGGCCCTGTGTGTAAGGGAGGAGAATGGAAGCTGATGGCACAGGGAGGTGGAAAAGGCACCCCTGAAATTCTCCAACAGTATTATCTGAGCTGCAGAGTCAAGGACACAGAAGTTAAGATGGTCCTAGAGATATTGAGGCTTGACTTTTTTTTTCAGGAGGGCAAACAGTCGTAGCCATGCTTGAAATCAGCTGAAGCTCAGCTGTAAAAGGACAGTCCTACGCTGTGCTAATACTCTGCAAAAATCAGGCTATAGCAATTCTAAGTGAAATGTAAAAATTATGCTCATTAACATTTGTGAGGAACGCTATAGAAAAGCCGGTGAGGAAATTCAATTTTGAAAATGGGGTTTGAGTAACGTGCAATAAATGTTGAGGATAATTTAGTTTCTTGAGGTGGAGAAAATTACTGTGGGAAGCTCATTTAGATTTGGTGCTGATTAATAGGAAGGAAATGGCTAAGATTCTAATGGTGGTAGATAATTTGAATGAAAATCGTCACAAAGTGATAGAGTTCACGATTCTTAGAGGGAAGGATGGCAATATCAGCAAGACATAAAAAAAAAAGACTTCAACAAACTGCAAAGATTGGTAGCTGCATCTCTTGGGAATGTTTTCTATGCTGGCAGGAGTATAGAAGACCTGGAAGCTGCCAAGAAAGCCTGAACAAAGGGCTGAAGCCCTGCTGGACTGTAATATCTGTCCTGAAACTGTGCTAACAGCAAGACAGCACAGGGGACTGAGGCGTGTGTATATGACTTGCAAGTTCAAGCTTCAAAAAATGAAGAGAAACCATCACACACAACTAGAGAAGCCCTTTCTTATCATCAGAGTTGTTCAGGGTCTTGTTTCCTCTTGGATTGTCAAATTGTTTCACAAAGATTAGAGAGAAGAAATTGAGAATGCAAACTAAGATAGTGGATATTAGATAACAAGGATTACATTAAGGGATTAAAAGTAAGGGGAAACTGAATGAAATATATGTCCACTACTCTATGAGAAATGAGGGAAACACAACAAGGAGAATGTGCAGTTGCTGCTGTTGTTTCTTGTCTGCAGCCAGGAGAAGAATGGACTAAAGAGTATTTCCATTGAGTACATATTCCCATGTCAGTGGGGCTGTGGGAATAAGAAGGAAGAAATAAAGTAATGCCAGAGCATTTAGTGTCTCTCTTCTGGGTGAGAAAGTCTTAGGGAATTAACTAAATTTCAGTAGTATCAAGACAAACCAAACTCAACACTCTCTCTCTCACCCTCACCAACTCAAAAAGAAAGGTCAAGAAAACTGTAGATAACTCATCCTCACTTCATTATGTGAAAAGCCACGAGAACAAGTTATTATTCAAGATATAAACATTTAAAGAATCAGATTCAAATAACCTGGCCAGTAGGGATTTATTGAGAACAAACTGTGCCCAATAAATTTAATCTTCCTTTTTTTTTTTAACAGCGTAGCTGCTCTAATTAAGGGAAGTGGTAGATTTTTAACACATTAAACTTTTATCAGGAAGCTGAGGAATGGTGACTTGAATGAAATCCCTCTTAAATGGGTACTCAGCTGCTTGAAAAATCCTGCAGTGGATATCCCTTTGAAAATAACCTGTCTCTGTCTCCTTTACTGTCTGCCATTGCTTATTGATACACATTGATAAAATCCTTTGAGCTGTCTCTCCAGGCTGAAGAGTCCCAGCTGTCCTGATCTCTTATTGTGTGTCAGATGCTCCAGTCCTTAAACAATCTCTTTGGCCACTCACTGGACTCACACCAGTATGCCCATACCTTTCTTCTACTGGGGAGCCCAGAACTGGGTGCAGCACCCGGTTGTCTCCCCAGGGCCGAGCAGAGGGGAAGGATCACCTCCCTCACGGATGATTCTCTTCCTAATGCAGCCCAGGATGCTGTGGCCCTTCTATGCTGCAAGAGCATATTTCTGCCTCACAGTCAGCTTGTCCATCAGGACTCCCATGTCCTCTGCAAAGCTGCTTCTACTCAGTCAGCTGATAGATGTCCCCTGTTTGGGATCAAACTGGAACATGAGCTGAGGGGAGCCCTACTGGCCCCAATTCCCTGTGATATTTGTCTTAACAACTTCTGTGCTTGAATAATAACACCAATAGATGATGCAGAGCTGAAAGAGGTAGCAAGCATAGTAGACAATATATTGAGTTATGTTGGAATAATGGAGAAAATTCTCAAAATGTGACTTGGGAAGTAAAAACTGATTGCACGAAGACAGAATGGGAAGTGAAGACATCGCTACTGCCTCAGGTACCTCTGGAGATACAATGGACTACAAAATGCATGAAAGTCAGCAATTTGAAATGCTGAAACTCGTCCTGGGCCCGTCAAACTCACGGTCACGTTTGTGACACACCAAAGGTGTCACTGTACTTTGCCCTGGTGAGGCTGCAGGTGGGATTCCTTGGGCACAGTGTTGTAAAAAAAAAAAGGAAGCAGTGAGAGGTAATTGAGAAGGACCTACGAAGAACTGGGTTTGGTTAGTTTAGAGAGCAGAAGACTTAAGAGTAGATACAAGCCCTTGCTGTTTCATAGAGGTGGTGCATCAGTTGACAGGGATAAACTCTTTATTCCGTGTAGTGGACAGAAGCTAGAACAGGGTTAGCTTAATTCACAGGACAGATGACTTGGGTTAGATTTTAAGAAAAGGCTCTTTATGAGGCTTTACAGGCATCTGAAAGGAGAGTGTAGGAAGCTGTAGAGTTGCCTCAGGTAGTGGCTGTGAAAGAAGCAGGAGAAGGATCACCCTGGATGTGCTTATCCTGTCCCAGGGCAGCAGTCGTGGTGAGCAGCCTCAAGGCAGGCCCAAAGTTCCTTTGCAGTGATCTCACAGTGATGGCACATGTGCCAGTGGAGGCTTTTATTTAAAGCCAGCATTTTTATTGGACTCATACTTTGTGTTCATCGTGTGACTTTTTTTTTTAAGTTTTCCTTCTACTGTAATGGATTATAATCTTCCTACTGCAGCTTTGCCCTTATCCTGGGCTGGACAAGTAGTACTTGTGATGGGCTAATTGTCACACTGCTTTCCTCTTCTGGACAAATTTGATGAAGTCTGCTATTTGAAGATGTTTACCTGGTGTGGAATCCTTTATTGAGTTCTGCTGAGATACTTTTTTAGTTTTCTAGCATCTGTTTTTGACGTAGGAATAGAGCACCCAGAGAAGTACTAATGCCACACACAGTGGTTAAACCAGCTCTCAGTTTGTAGTTATCCCTTACACAGCCAAGGATTGTGTTTGTTTTATCTGTAGAGATACACAGGTAAGTCTTGTCATTGTCTTTCCTGCTGCTTTCTGCTCTGTGGGTTTTGTGAACTGCATTTCTGGATGGATTGATCTTGCATCCACTCAGGTTAAGCAGACAGCCTCTGTTGGTTGCACTGGTTTTCCTATCAGGAAGTTATCATCTGTAATTTCTAGAGCCATAAAGATGAGTTACTGTTAGCAGCCTGAGACCACAAGGATGTGTTTTCAGAAAAATAACCACCTTCCATTAGAACAGTTTGTTTCTTTGGTTTTGATTCTTCTCTCCTGTTAAGGTGTTTATTTTCTTATTTATTTATTTTCTTCTTTGATTTGACGTTCTGTTAAATAGACATTTTTTGGTGCATCTCTTAGGCTGTTGATTTATCAACCTTTCAGGTGCTGTTCTGCTCAACTCCTGGCAGCTTTAAAACAAGTAAAGGTAGCTTTTGATCCAGTGTAACATTCCTTCCCTGCTTGGGTAGAGCCAGAGTGCTCACAGTTTCAAAATACAAATGGATCACAAAGCATTTTTATAACCAAGTCAGCTGGATCACTAACTTGGAAGGCAACTTTTTTGTTTGTTTTACAGGCAATGCCACTGCAGTTAAGCAGTCTCGGTACAGGATTATCGTTCAGGATTCTGCCAACGGGGGACAGGCGTGCCCAGACACTTTGTATGAGGAGAGAGAATGTGAAGATATTCCCATCTGTCCAGTGTATAGGTAAAAACTGTCAGCTTGGATCCAGCCTCTGATGGGTGCCCACTTCTCTAGAAATTATTTTTGTGCCATTGTCCTGCACGATTTTCACCAGAAAATAACACAGTACTGGAAAATGCAGAGTTAAAACAAATAATGTGCCTTGCAAAATGTGTTAAAGTAGAGTTCAAACTGGGGATTTCAGCAGATGTGGCATCATCAGAACAAGCAGCAATAGGCACAACTCCTAGAAATGGCAACCTCAGAGTCCAGTGTGTGTAAGGAAGCTGTTACTGGCGACTCCCCCCTCATTTTATCTAAAAATATTTTGGGACCACAAGCCCTCAACTACCTTAATCATAATTGTATGCTTATTGCAAAAACTCATCTTTTCCCCTGATCCTCTCAAACCAGTGAATAATACACACTTAAAAAAATACTGATTAGACAAAGAGTACAATAGGGCAATTACTCCCCACTCCTCATTAGAATTCTGTGGCCCGTCTGTTATTATGCAATATTAGTAAATAGAAAAGCATTATATATTTGCATATAAATCTCCAGCCCTTACATCCCATAGGAGATGGTCTGGGAGTAGAGTGGGGAGCTGGAGGTGGTGCCAGGCAGGATCACACCACTCCACTGTGCCATGGAAAGCTGCTTCCTGGTGTTCTTGGCACATGTACAGGCATAGGAAGCAGACTGGAAACACCATCAGCTGCACAAGAACAGGCTGGCAGGAGGAGAGCCTGAGTTCAAAGCCCACTGGAGATACATCCTGTGTATTTTGTGTAACTTTGAACCATGCCCTGCAAAAATGAGAAAGCGGGACGTTGTTGGAGTAGGACGTGGCTTTCTCGAAGGTGAACCTGGCATCTGAATTTCAGTTCACAAGGCTTATTTCAGGAGGAATCACAGCTTTTTTACTTGTTTTTTCCATAAGTCTCTTTAGCAAATCGTCGTTAGTGACTGAGGGCTTTTTTGCCCGGACGTGTTTTCTGAATTTAAGCACTTACCTGTTCATCTTTTCCTGTTGCAGGTGGAAGACCCACCGGTGGAGTTCCTGTGTGCTGGTGCCAGACTCGGTGAGACAGGGTGTGCCAGGACAGACTGAGGCGTGTGGACACGGTTTGCAGTCACGGGGTGAGCTCTTTCCATCCAGAGTGTGGTCTTTAGTAGGGTCTTTGCTCTTTTACAGCAGATAATTTGGAAACTTACTGAAGTACTTTATAAAATAAGAGTGTTTTGGGAAATGGATCCGTTGTGCAGTTTTTCTGTGCTGGGCATTAAAGAACCACTAACACAATAGTTTGTTTGAAGTATAGGAGAAGATTTATGCTTGGTGTTCAAGCACCTTCACTAACATTCTCTTCTGCTTAAAACTGAAGCATGTGGGCTTTAAAAGAATTATCTATAGGCCTCTGTGAAGTAATCCATTCATGGTGCTAAAAATGGAAAGGATAATTTCCCCATGATTTAAAATTTTGCTAATGACTTGCCTGAGGCCCGATTTTCATTAAGACTGTTGGAGAAGTTCGGTGTGGGTAAATGCTTTGGGCTCCTGCCCTTGGCGTAATTAAGCACTTAAAAGTTACAGCGATCCCATTGTCGGAACAGAAGTATTGAGAAGAATGTCACTGTTCCGAGTGCGTGATCAGAGTCTGTAGTGGTGCCTGCACATGGCTGGAGATGTGGCTGTTATCAGTCTCCTGGAAATTCTAATGAAACCCTTAACAAAAGGTTATTTTTATTGAAAAAAAAAAATAAATTGCTATACAGGTATGCTGAGGAAACTTGACATAATAATTTACTCCTTCACAAAGGCAGAAGCTATTCTTTAAAGATGAATTGAATTTCTTATATAATCTGGAAACAAAGGAAACAAAAGAAAAGTTCTGACAGTATGTGGGATGTATCTGAAAGAAGAAGTGTATTTTAAACTAAAACTCAAACGAGTAAATATCTTTAACTAGGTTTTGACCACAAACTCTTCCACAAGGTTTTCAGACCTGTAAATTGTATTCCTCAGCCTCTGTGTGAAGTTATGGTAATCTTTATTCTCTACTGGGAGCATGAACTTTGTATTGATGTTACTCTGACAGAATTAGAAGTATAAGAGGAGAGTATCACACTTATTTTTACTCTGTGGAGTGCCCTCCAATAATTACATAGGCTATGTGCTGTTTTGGTGTAATAATGAAAAACATCTCATACCTTGGTAGGTTTAAGCAAAAATTGTTTCAGTTTTTTTTTTCAGTTCATTTTTTTAATTAACTGTGGCTTTTGTTACAGCTTTGGTTTTCATAATTACATGTAGTGATAGAGCCAGTCTGCTGGGTGTTATTGAAGATGAGAGGGGTCTTAGGAAAATGAGTTCTCAGATGAATCCCACGGAAGAAGATTTTTAAAGATGTTTTGTACGAGCGAGGGGAGTGATGTCCGTGGAGGAGGCAGCTGAAGCCAAGCTGCCATATTGTGTCTGAAAATGAAGCTGATGGATTTTCAGCAATTCTGTATTTTATCTGTAGAAGTACTGAGTAAGGGAAACTTTGATAAAGCTGTCTTGCTACTCGAGCTCCTCAGGAGCAGCTTGTGTGTGTGAAGAGGTGCTGGGAAATGTCAGGGAGCAGCCAAGGGCAGTGTTTGTCACATGCCTTGCAGGGTCTCTTCAGCTTGTAAACCTCGGCACTGGAGGACTTCTGATGCTCTCATTCTTCACCATGAAGGTGGTCTTTGGAGATAGTTTTGAAATAACATGTGAGGTGAGGGTGGAGATTTGGAGTTGTTCAGCCTAGTGTGGGTTTCACAGGGAAGGTGGAGCAACACTTCCCAGAGATGCACAGGGAAATAACAGAGGATAACAGTTGTAGGCTGGAGTGAAAGGTTGCCTGGAGGGACTGTAGATTCCTTGGAGAAACTGAAAACTCAAGAATAAGGTCTTGAGCTTCCTTTTCTAACTTTGAGGTCTGTCCTGCTTGGAGCAGGCATTGGATCTTCAGAGGTCCCTTCCATTCTAGACGCCCTTGTGTGATTCTGTCAGTCTGTGGGTTTTTACGGGGGAATCTGTGTCATCAGTGGAAGAACCCCAGGTGTTAGAACAGATGCTTTGCTGCAATATTCAGGCATCCTGCAAACGAGCTTGCATTCGAGGTATCATCACCACTCCACACAGTAATTGGCTTACATAATGTGCCAGTGTCTTTAGCCAGTAAGTGCTCCTTCTCCAAAGAGTATTCATATGAATTAGCTTAGTTTCTTTCTTACCATGTAACAGCAATTACCCTTTTACCACTGAAGATAATCAGTCTGGCTGTTCCTTGCAGCATCCATTTTTAGATTTCTTTTTTCTGTCCATACCCTGACTGTCATGTAAAAAAAGAGGATTTTAGTTTTCAGTGACTGTCATATCCAGCCAATTATATAGGGACATTGAATTCATAGAAATTATTTCTAAAGAAAAACAGAGTGTGTTTATGTGTACCTATTTAGAACAATGACTGCTGAGGGAAAATTAGGTCTGAAATGACATTCAAGCTCCATTCTTACTCTCAACTAGATTCTGAGATAGATGCTTACAGATCTTGTTCCACGAGTGCTTTCACTGAAATTGCATGTAGATGTACTGTGTAATATGCAGAAGATATCAGAATTTGTCTGTGAATAATAAGCAGAATAGCCAAAGAGATGACAGCTGTCTGAAGCCGCATTTTTTTAGGTTTCATCTTGGAAAGATATTACACTAATTACAATAGCCTTTCATTTTTTATACCAGCTTCAGTGGACTAACTTAGAAAAGAGTCTTACAGGAAAGAGAAAAGTAGCCTTTAGAAATAATGAATATAGTTGTTATTTAAATTTAATTGAGGTGTGATTTGCAAAATGCCCCTGAGATAGAACACTTGAGTAAACCAGCGTGGGGATGTTACTGTTGCTTGACATTAGACAACATTTCTAAAAATAAATGAAAAGCTTTACAAACTTTTCTACTGCTGTATAGCTGTCATTTTTCCGACAAGGGACTAATTTACTAGAAGGTGACAAGACTGTGAGAAAAGGTCCTGCACGTGGGTGGGAGCAGTCCCAAGTACAGGTACAACCTAGGTGGAGAACAGATTGAGGATAGCTCCAGGGTGAGGGGCTTGGGGATGTTGGTTGATGAGAAGCTCAACATGACCCAACCATGTCCTGACTGCATCCAAAGCAGCGTGGGCAGCAGGCCGAGGGAAGTGATTCACCCCCTCTACTCCACTCTGGTGAGACCCCACCTGGAGTACTGCAATCCAGCTCTGGGGTCCTTAACACAAGAAGGATGGTGATGTGTTGGAGCAGGTCCAGGGGAAACCACAGTGATGCTCAGAGGGCTGGAGCACCTCTGCTATGGAGACAGGCTGAGAGAGTTGAGATTGTTCAGCCTGGAGAAGAGAAGGCTCTGGGGTGACCTTACAGCCCCTTCAGGTGCCTAAAGGGACTCCAAGAGAGCTGAAGAGGCACTTTGGACAGGGGTATAAATTTATAGGGCCAAGGGGGAATGGCTTTAAACTGACAGAAGTCAGGGTTAGATTAGAGATTAGGAAGAAATTCTTTATTGTGAGGGTGGGGAGGCCCTGGCACAGGTTGCCCAGAGAAATTGTGGGTACCCCATCCCTAGAAGTGTTCAAGGCCCAGTTAGATGGGTCTTTGAGCAACCTGGGATAGTGAAAGGGAGATAGAACAAGTTGAGCTTCAAGGTCCCTTACAACCCAAACCATTCTATGATTTCATGAGAATTGTTTCTGCTTCAGATGCCCTTCAGTGACTTTACTGTTCTCTGATGTCTGTGATGGAGGATCCTTCACAACTGACCTCTCCTTTCAGTGCTGACATGAGCAGCCACCTTAGCCATATACATTTTGGGGAAAAAAAAATGTTTTGCTTGTTACAAGGCATTGTTAAGGTTTAATTAGCAGATGGAAAGCCTGTTTTAAGGAAGCGTCTTTGAAGGCTGCTTCAAACACCATCGATGAAGTAAATAGACATGTATTAAAGTCCAGACTAGTCTAATGAGACTCTGCTTTAAAATCCAGTCTTGGAAACACACTGACAATGTGATTATGGAAAGAGTAGTTACTTTCTCGAAGCTGCAGCAATAGAACATGTCATGCCTTATTTCTTCTGCCACTTTGCTTTGATTCATCTGGGGGATTCGACCAAATCTCCCCCTGTTAATGAGACAGTAGGTCCATATCAGAGCTGTAGCTGTGACACAGAGCAGTAGATATTTTTAGAGGTAATTTATTGATTTGTGTACAGGAGAACAACAAGAGACCCACCAATGCAGTGATGAGAAGCTAATCCTCTGCTTTGGAGAAGGGCACTGCCCCTGGCTCACCAGAGGCCACGGGGTGGATCAACCCTGGACAGCCCCGTTGGGCATCTCAGTAGCACATTTCTGGTGGGCTCCAATATCAGGCCACGTATGATGTATTCGTTTCCTTTAACTGTGTTGTGAATTCACACCACGTGGACTTGGCTAGGATGATTTGTGTTAAATATAACCTGTTTCAGTTGAAAAGTTGATGCATGAATTGACGGGGAAAAAGTGGAATGCAGGCAGCACTGGCCTCGAGCAATTTAAGATTCTTGTCTCCTTCATTGCAAGTTTCTGTCTCTTGCTCTGGAGCTTTCTGATAGCTGTAGGGACATTGCAGACAAGACTGGTTTTAGACTCAGATTCAGACCAAGAGCTTGTCATCGTGAGAGAAAAATTGGTAACAAACTGCTGTCCAAGTTTTCTGAGTGTATCTGAGTGGAGTGATAGTTCCAGTAAAATCTTGCCTGAAATATAGGCAGTACTGTGATCACAAACTTAATAGTGCCGAAGTTAATGCGTCCATATTAAGCAAGATGAAAGGATGAGTTTAGATACAGCCTCTTAATATTGCATCTACAAAAAATGTTTCAAACAGGCATCCCTTAGCTGTATTATCTTGTGTATTATCAATCACTAATGGCCATATACATTGCTGTTGTTTCTCCTGCAATTATTTTATGGTAACCTGTTTATAATGAGTTGTGCCATCAAAAAGACATCAGTGTTACTTTTTTTTTTTTTTTTTTTTGCTCATAAGATGGTCACCCAACAGTTCTTATTCCCTCTTTTGAAG